GGGGGGCAGCAACACCCCGGGTTGTTAATTGCTAGACAACAGAAGCATGGATATAAGTCAAACATGGTGCTATGCATTTATCAAGGTACATGTGCTTTATGACTGCTTAATGTTCACTGAGTAATTCTAGGATGAGCTTCCTATTTAAGAAATAGTTCGATAGAGATCCCCCAACGCTGGACCTTTTTCCCCCCTCTGCTGAAGGGGTTTCTATCAGCAAGATGCCTTATTATGGTGATGTAAACCAAAAGAATCTATAAGCCCCGCAATATTTCTTTTTAATAACTAGAATACCAAGTGAAAGTTGTGGGGAAGTCTGTCTCATATTCCAGTGGGCCATAACACTTCTTTTTAAAGTATGTAAAGACCATAAGAACGTGCAAGGATTAGAACCCCAGTCAGGATTTTGTTGTGGTCTGTCTCGGCTGGAGAGATTTACCCTCTCTATTGGTCCACTATTGTTCTTGAACAGAAAGTGAGGGGAAAATTAAACATTTTGTAGTTGTCAGGAGAAGAGGCAAAATCTAATGACAACTGTCAGAGATATCCCCTTCCTCTGAAGAGATCCCCTCATACTTTCTGCTGTGTCCCTGGACAGAAAATGATGTTCAGTGTTAATTTAGTTGACAACATTTTTTTTTCTCTTTTTTTAGTTTTTTGGGTGATAAGAACGAAACTAACACAAAATTATAGAGTAGTTAATGGGACGAAAATGATTTTCGTCTGGTACCCAATTTTCGTCAACAAATTGATAATGAGAATTGTTGTCAATAATTCTCAATATCGATTATTTGCAGCGCTGCCGTCGCTGCTCTGCTCGTCCATTCTCTTCCCCGCTGGTGCTGGCTGCAGCGGTCTGTGTCCCTTTCAATCCCCGCTGCTCTCCCCACCTGTATTGGTAGAGGCAGCAGGGAAACAGACTGCTACAGCCGGCACCAGTGGGGAGGAGAGACCACTGTGACTCTGCAATCCCCCCTCGTACCTCTGCTGCTGGGCCTTCTCTTCGCTGGCCCGTTCCCCCTCTGCTCTGCCCCATTCCTCCTCTGCCCTGCCCCCAGTGCCTCCGCTGCATCTACAGGCTGGGAGCCATACACAGCCTGCTATTGGATATTTTCAAATGCAATAGCAAGCTGGCTATTGCACCCACACACTGCCTGCTGTCAATCAGCAGAGGAGGACCTGATGGAAAGCTTTAAAGTAAAAATTCTGGTCCACAGTAAAAGATTATATAGAGAATATATCATGGGCTCTCATGACTTCTGTTACACACTGAAATGGTTAACATTATAGCAATGTGAACTCTAAATGATCTACACATTATGCATTTCCCCAGTTTTGTTTTACTGCCCCTCCCCCCAATACCCCTCTCAGCAGCACAGCGGTGTCCCTTCTCCACACAAATTAAATTCATGTACCTAGAGTAGTTCCTTTAGAAAATACATTTAATGATTTGTCAATAAGTATGAAGATACATTAATTTGTGTCTTTTATATCTGCGTTCCATTCAACTTTTAACCATCCAGGGTGAGTCATACTACTAGAAGATTTGGTAAATTTGATAAGCAGATGCTTTTGGAAAGTAAAAGTAAAATATATAAACTGTTCTACAAAAGTCATCTTTTAAAAAAAAAAAGGTGTAAAAATAGCATACCTCCGTTGTCCTGATTCTCGCATGCTCTTTCCCAGGAGTCTGTATTACGATTCTCCACTGAGTCAGCAGCTGCAGTAATAACTTCAGAGATGTGTCGAGGAGTGTCTGGTGTGTATCTGTCACATCACGCAATAGGAAATTAATGAACCCGAACAATACGTCTTCCCTCCAATCCACAAAGTCAACTAGAAGGCCCTGGAGAGAGTTCTGTGCAATATGACGCAGTTCATCATCCATGTGAATAGATAGCCTGCAAAGAAATATATAACAAACACAGGGACAATATAAACTACCACAGAACATGAACACAGATTTGATGTATCATGGGGAAATATTCAATTGTCCTCAGTGGGCCTGATTAATATATCTGCACAGTGGCCTGACTGAAGTGACTAAACTCTAGTGCAATAACTCAGAAAGGAGGTCCTTCACATCTCATACAAACATTGCAACAATCCATTTTAGTCTTTTTGTTGCTAATATTTAAAGTGACCTTAAAGTCAAAAGGTTTTTAAGCCATTTCAAATGCGGAATAAGTCACTTAAAATGGATGATGCTCCTTGATGTTTAAAAGTTTTGGTTCCCTGCTGGATCAGCTGGTCCACTGAGCATTGGCCTTGAAATCTTGTTTTAGGGTGGCTCTCTCCCTTTGCAGGGTCCTCTGGAGCCGCCGTTATGTGCAATAGTAAGATGTGTGCGTCTCCACAAACACACGGGCACAGCAAGCCAAGACACTCCCCAGTCCCCCGCTTCTACAAGCTAGTAGATGGACAGCTACTGGAGATTGTGCTCTCCCTTGTGACCTTGTACTCAACAGGAAGTTCAAAGAAGCCGAGCTGAGAGAATTTGAGCCAGCTGTTCATAGACATGAAGATTGTAAATGCTTGGGCAAAAATATTGCTGGGAAATACATATTTGTTTCATCTGAATTCACTAAATGAAAACAAAAAAAAACAGACGAGAGTTTAATACTACTTTAATTACTGTTTCTTCTTTTTCTGTAAGTCTAATAAGCGTATTATACAGGGGTAATAGAAAGGTACTTGGTGTTTTTTTTACCTTAATGCAAAGAATGCATTAAGGTAAAAAAACACCATGATTTTAGTGCTACTTTAAGCTTCCAACACAGATCTGAATATGACTGATGATTGTAAGAAATTGCTTAGCTTTCTTTTCTTGCATCAAGCTTCTTGTATGTGAACTGCAACAGGGAGCATATTGCATTTTAACTTACAGCATAAGAAGCATACAAATTCAAAGAAAATGGATAAATGGTGCACTTGATGAAAAACTGAAATATTAAATCAGGTAGGTACGCCGCACAAAACCGAGGTCCATAAAAATTAAGCCCAGGTGGTGAAACACGTGAGAGCATTGGAGCGGGAGAGATACTGTGGTGCTGTATACCTTGTATTTTGAACTTTGCATGGAATTTACAACAATAAAGTTGGATTTTTATGGACCTCGGTTTCATGCGGCTGATTGGGGAGATATTGTTTGACAACTGGGAGCACACCTGATGTCTGCATTGATCTGCAGTCTGGTGGAATTGGAGCGGTGAGTCTTTTGCTTTTCTGGATATTAAATCAGGTAGGTTATGCTTCCTGTCAGCATTTTAAGGCTTTATTTTCAATCTGAAATATACCTTTCAAATGAACCCCCATCAGCCTAAAATTTGGTTGTGATGTCCACTAACTAAATTAGAGGTATGCAGATCTAGATGGTTCCCCATCTCCACCAAGAGCTGCATCCAATCAAAGGCCACAAAGCAATGATTTGACTGCATCCTATCTGGTTTAACAGAACATGTTTCCAGGACGTATAAAGATTGACAAAGCAAAGCTATGAAAATAGCACTCTGCAATCTTAACTCGCTCCCTTCTATGGCCTCCAACTGAATTTTCCTGGAGACATGCTGTGAGAGATAAAAATAAATAAATCAAATTTTTTCTCTCCAGTGGCAAATCAATTATTTACTGCAGTGCAGTGCATCATAACATGCAGGTTTTAGTGTGTGTGTGTAATATATATCTATATATTGTATATATATATACATATACATACTGTACATACATACATACATCAAGCATACAACTGTAACCAATTTCCAAGTTTAATCTAAAAACCTAAATTGGATGCCATGAGCAAGATCAACCAATTTGTAAGTTGCAAGTTTGGATAAATCAGTCCCAATTAGTGATGGAGTGGATTGACCATACAGTAAAAGCAGTAAACATTCACAGCAGCCATAAGCATCGCACCTTGAAAGTAAATCGATTAGCTCCAGTTTAGACATCCCATCTGGAAGCAGGCGAGGAATAGCAGCCACACACGTTCTGAAGAGGTCAATCTTTGGCTTTCGTTCTCCACTGAAATGTGAAAGTAGTACATGGAGATCACAGAGCACTAAACACTTTGTAGATAAACAAATCATTACTGGGGTTTCAGAATGCTGCTGGCTGGCTGGAAATGAAAGGCCTCAGCATGATACAGTAGTACAGAGCCTCTGCTCTGTTTATTTTAAGAAATATTTTCTCATGAATTGTAACATCAAAAGGATGATTTCTGGAATATCTGGTGCTGAAAAGCACAATCCAAATCCGAACGTCACATGATTTTTCTTATAGATGCAAATATTATACCTCTGAAAATAGCAACATTGTCTAGAGATAACACAAGCTCTGCCTAAAGGAAAGCTATACTTTTTTTTTAGTTACATGAGAACATCATGAGAAAATTATCTTAGCACTTGTCTTTAAAAGCCATTACATACACTTGTACTCTAAAAAGATGGCAATGATGGTTAGATCTCTAGCAGATTGAACCTTTGCCTATAGATGCATCTAGTATTGCGGGTCATCTCTTCAAAGATAACAGCTTTTTATGAATCTGAATAGATGTACTCCTGTCTGACTAGAAATGTTAATAGTAGATTGGGGTTCTGCTGCTCCAAGAAGTAGGGAAGCTTATTATGGTTTATGATGTTCAAGACTCTTGCTCTTGAACGCTCCACAGACTACATAACCTCCACATACCATATACAGTAGTTGCGCTTTTGATTGATCATGTTTACTTTAGGAACAAATCAATACCTTATAGTTTATTTGTTAAAGGCATATTGAAGAACAATGTCTTTAAACTACCTACGTGATCATGTCCTCAGGTTCCTTGTTTAGCATCTGTACATTGGTCATCATCATGCAGCGTCCAACTTCTTTATCTAGATGCCTTAAAATGTTGTCTACTGCTTTCCGCACTTGGGAGTAGTACAGAGACATGCCTAGCAAAGAAAGCCACATATATGAGGATTGCAAAATGTCACTGGGCACACATCAGTCACAATCTACATCAAAATTACAAGAATCTTGTAAAGTTGCCCCCCTTCTGGCAGTCACATCATGCCTGCTGAAAAGGTAGAGTTCAGAGGAAGCAAAGCAGCTCTGCCTGCAGTGATCCCCCTCTTCTTGCAGAAAAACATATCAGCACACAGATATACACACACATATGTATATATACAGAGACATTTGTTGGTACCCTTCCACAAAAAAAATACATTTTTTTTTAATTGAAACTGACAAATTTAATTGGCATCCATCATTGTTTGTTCTATATGTAATACAAATTAGACTTTGCTTTGTATTCAACAGAATATTTTAAGTAATAAAACAAATGAAACATGATTGGACCCTTAAAGTGATATTAACGTTTCATTTGATTTTGTTTTTTTAATTTATAAACAGGAGGCACATACTTGTAACAATCCTTTATTGTTTTAATTAAACATGGTTAGTTCCTCCTTCTCTAGTGGGTCCCTGCAAAGCTCTCTCCCCCCGCCCCCTGCATAGGTGCTGCTATCAGCTAAGCGGCTGCTGTGGAGGCACCCGTGCATGCTCGTTCTCGGCCATGCCCGCAAGTGGCTGTGTGTGTCCGTAGACACACACACAGCCCTTCAGCAGGCACCCACAACCCGGAAGGTTGGGACGGCGAAACGCCTCGGGGACCGGCCTCGATGAAAAAGCGGCGCTGACAGGTAAGTGGAGGGGATGGGGGACACAGAAAGGTACTAGGCATTTTTTTTTTACCTTAATGCAGAGAATGTTATAAAGTAAAAAACGCCCAGACCTTAGTAATCCTTTAACCTAATATTTTGTTCCACAACATTTAGGGGCAATCACTTCAAAAAAAAGAGATTTCTGTAGCTCTCAATGAGACTGCTGTATCTGCCAACAGGTAGTCTGGCCCACTCTTCTTGAGCAAACTGCTCCAGCTGTCTCAGGTTAGAAGGGTGCCTTCTCCAGACTGCATGTTTCAGCTCTTTTCATAAAGGTTCATTAGGATTCAGATCAGGGCTCATACAAGACCACTTCAGAATAGTCAAATGTTTTGTTCTTAGCCTTCTTGGGTGCTTTCTGATACTGGGCAGTATGTTTTGCTCCAGAATTTCTTGATAGTCTTAAGTGCTGTGCAGATTCCAGGCACCCATGCCAGATGCACCAAAGCAGAACCATAGCAGAACCAAGCCACCCCCAGTGTTTTTTTTTGAAAGCCTAATTTTTTTCATCTGTGAACACAGAGACAATGTGACTTGCCAAAAAGCTAAATTTTTGTTTCATCTGTCCAAAGGACCTTCTCCCAAAAAAAATTGTGGGCTGTCAATATGCAATATGCATTTTGGTCATTTCTGGTCTGGCTTTTTGCTTTTCTTTCAGCAGTGGAGTCCTCCTTTAAGCCCACTGTCACTTACAAAGCAATAGTGGGTGAGATCAGACACTGCTAAACCTTGGCCATAGAGTTCAGGTTGTATTTCTTTGGAGGTTTTCCTTGTCTCTTTTTCTACCATTTGCACTATCCTTCTGTTCAAGTTGGGGTCAATTTTCCTCTTGTGACCACATATAAAAAAAAAAGTAAAAAACCCAAAAATAATTTTAAGTCCTCCGCCCCCACGCACATATAAACGTAAATACGCTTCGGGTGTGCCTAAGTGTAAAAACGATTAAGTCACACGTTACATATCATTGTGGACGTCAGAGTGCAAGCAATAACTCTAGGGCGATCAATCACTGTTAACATTAAACTGATGAGCGGTATAAACTTTTAAAGAGTTGCCTATGACCAATTTTAGGTGTGGTAGTTTTTTTGCGATTTCGTGGGCGCGCGCAATTTTAAAGCTTTACATGCTTGGTTTCTATTTACCCGACATGACCCCATCTTTAATATTTTACTATATAACTGTTTTCATTATATAGTAAAAAATAAAAAACCCCAGTGGTGATTAAATACCAGCAAAAGAAAGCTCTATCTGTCCCCAAAAAAATATACAAAATTAATTTCAGTACATGACGGAATGCGTTGCATGACGGAATAAATGTCAGTCAAAGTACTGCAGCGCTGAATACTGAAAATTGGCCTGGCCAGGAAGGTGGTGTAACACCCCAGTCATCAAGTGGTTAAAGGATAATTTTAGGGTTAAGTTACAGTTTAAATGTCATGGAAAGGTTTAGTGTTACAGTTAAAGTATATGTAAATGTCATTACTAAATATGTTACTGCAAAAATTAAATGACATCAATACAGCCATGTGAAAAAGTGTACCCCGTGACTAGTTCAACATATGTAAACAATTAAACATTAGATCTTCCTGCGAACAATACCAACATGGAGAGGGTATAATAATTTCTATAATTTCCAGGATTGTCTTGGTATTTGTTGTAACCATGACCCATCTGCACCAGGTAAATGCCACAGTTGGATTTTCTGTACATTTTATAGGTTTGCAACCTCTTATTTGTAACTCTTTTATACACATATAAAGAAAGAATAATAAAACAAATGCCTACAGATAAAGGTGATATAGCTGAATAAAAACACAAGGACATTTTGCTATTTCAATCTCTTATATAATATTAAATAAAGTATTTAAACTAGGGATGCACCGATATATTGGCTGCCGAATCATATCGGCCGAAAATTGCACTTTTGGCAACATGCCGAAAGTGCCATTCTTTGGCCGAAAATAGCGGTGCATTCGTGATTTCTCCCCCCCTCCCCCCGCGCTGGGTGCTGCTCTGTGTCCCAGCAGGGAGGAGAGAAACTGTCACAGGAGGCCGAGCGGTGCGGGAGGAGGAGATCGCTGTGAGCGGTTGGCGTCTTTCCTCCCCGCACTGCTCAGCCTCCTGTCACAGATCAGGAGAGCAGTGTGTGGGCGGAGACTGCCATTGCTGTCAGAGGAGGCTAAGCTCTCCTCCCGCACCACCCCGCCCAGCCTCCTGTAACAGCGTGTCAGGATGGAGAGCGGGTACATACACTCAGCGATCAGTGATCGCTGAGTGTTTGTAAATAATTGGAGGACATAGCATGTTTACTGTGTCCCCAATTATGAATGAATAGAAAGTGACCTACATCACGTCCAGTTCATTCATGATTGTGGATATGGTACACAAACTATGTCCACAAGTTATGAATGAACAGGAACACTCAGTATAGAGGATTCCTGTTCATTTATAACAGAGGCTGCTGAAAAAAAGATTGAGGACTCTGTGTCCTCAATCTCTTTTTCTATTTTAAAAAGGGAAATATCAGGGGTCTATTAATCCCCTAATATTTCCCCAAAGCCCCTAAAAGTAAAGTAAAAAATACAAATATTTAATAAAAATGAATGAAGTATAACACATTTAAAAGTTTAGAAAAAATATATAAAAACGAAATACTTTAAAACATTTGACAAAAGTTAGAATAAAAAACATTTTCGGTTTCGGCCTGACATTTTTAAATTTCGGTTTAGTTTTGAATTTTTTTTTCCGGTGCACCTCTAATTTAAACCCTTGGCCACAGAAGCTGGTATTGTCCCTTTTAGCAAAAATAACTTTCCACCAGTCAATGATATCAACTCTGTGAATTTTTCGACCACTCCTCCATGTAAAATCCCTTCATTTGAAAGTGTTTGTGGGTTTCCTTGCATGAACAGTTCATTTCAAATACCCCCCACAATATTTCAACAGGATTCTAATCAGGGCTTTGGCTAGGCCAGTCCATAACCCTCTATTTCTTCTTCCCGAGTCATTCCTTTGTGAATTTGCTAGTGTGCTTAGTGTCATTATTGCGTTGAAAGATCCTTTTCCAGTTCAAATTCAACTTTTAGACACATGGCCTCACATTCTCATCAAGTGCACTTTAAAATAGGGATGCACCGATACCGTTTTTTTTGGTATCCGGTACCAATATTTTTTTTTCCTTACTTGCCGATACCAAATACCGATACCGGAATCCCAGGGTAACGTGGGTCCGGCTTAACAGGAAGCTGGGCGGCGGGCCATGACCCGCCCCCTGGCTTCCTGATTGCCTGGAAAGCCGGTGTTCTATCGAAAGAACACCGGCTTCACTTTCCGAGGCAGCCTTGTTTTCTGACAAATCAGGAAGCCAGGCTGCACGTCATGACCCGCCTCCTGGCTTCCTGATTGGCTAGGAAGCCAGCTTCACTAGTTCATAGGCAACCTGGCTTCCTGACCAATCAGGAAGTGGGGCTGCTGGTCATAACTCACCTCCTGGCTTCCTGATTGGCCAGCTCCATGCTCCCTCACGGCACTGCCGGTCAGAGGGAATCTCCCTCTGACTGGAAGTTCAGGTATCAGGGTAAGTATCGGAGCATTACTCGCCCAAATACTCAGTATCGGTGCATCCCTACTTTAAAATTATGCAGCATAACAGACTTGATGACTGCAAGTTGCACAGGCCCTGAAGCAACAACCAGCCCCAAATGATAGCATGTCCATGCCCGTGCTTCATAGTTGGTATGGGGTTCTTCTCCTGAAATGCCTTTTTTGGTTTGCACCAAACATATCTACTGTCACGGTCACCAAACACTCTATGTTTGGTATATCAGTTTATAGTGTATTGTTTCAAAGGACCGGGCCTTTGCCTATACGTTCATTGGCAAACTGTAGATTTACTCTTTTTGGACAGCAAAGGCTTTTTCCTGGCACAACTCACATCCAAATTACATTGGTGCAATCTCTTTCTGTGTGAAGATGCACTTTCACACCAACTGTTGCAAACTGTGGATCCCGCAATAAAATTTTGGGGTTCTTGAAAACTGCTTTTAGCATCAAACACTAAGCTTTTGGCCTGAATTTGCTGGGTCTGCCAGTTCTGGACAAATCAGCAATACTTTGAAATCTACACCACTTCTAGCAGTGGAGTAATTGGTCTCAAATATTTTTTTTTAAATCCCTTTGCCAGCTCAGGTCCTTAGAGAGCTGTTTTGACCCTGGCATGAAGACACCACATTAATAGCAAAATGAATACCCTGGATATCTGAGGTTTATAGAAGTTGTGTATAGGGTATTTACTTACTTACATTATTCTTTAAGGAGGTTCCATTCACTGCAACCTAATCAAGAACACCTGATTCTAATCTCATGATTTTGAAGTGGTGGTAAATGTAGGGGTGCACCTACATTTTTCATATAAGATATCTGTTTTTTAGTTCATTTAGATTTTGAGAATGAATATGCCATTTTATTTTATGTGTAATTTGTTCAAGTATATCAAGGTATGTTCTAAATCTGTGGATTTCATTAAAATAAAGCATGCTCATCCTGCCATAAAAGATGCCTGTTCAGGAACCCTGTATTATGTGGTGACAATGCTCTGTTCTTGTCCCCCAACTGTTTTCCAGATTTGTCTCCCTGTCACATCTAATGTAAAGTGCAAGGGGCCAAGCTGACACACTGCACAGGAATGTGCTTGCGTTGTCAGAATTAGGAAGCCTGCCCTTAGAAATGATGTGCACACAAAGCTACAGCGAGTAGACAGGTAGTGGCTGCAAGGAGGCTGAGGGATGTCAGCAGCACAGATATAAGACAGAATGGGGAAAAATGAGAAAACAGTATTTATAAAAAAAAATAATTGCTGCTGTTAATGACACACAATGCTTTAACAAACTATTTACTTATGGTTTACATGTCTTATCTTCTAGCTAGATTAGGTATTGGTTTGCACGACAATGTACGGCTGATTGTTAGGGTCATGTGAATAGCTTGGATAGATTGAGTAGACATGGCTGCCCTTTACAATTTTTTTTTTTGCAACACAAGTGTTAGCAGGGATGTGTAAATCGCAAGACAAGATGAATAGAATTGCATAACATTTTGTCAGCTAAAACAATTACCATACATGTATCCCATTTATGTTTTAACTGCTGGAGTTCCATTTTCAGTATAAGAAACATTTAATGAAAGCGTACCGGGCAAAAGAAAACCTGTATTCATCCCCATCGGCTCTGCTCCTAAGTTTGCTGCCAGACTTCCTAGCCAAACATCACATTGTACTGTACTATTTCCTGCTGTCAAGAGGTAGTTGACCCATAAAGATCATACAACATTCATAATCACACAAAAGGATATTGATTGAGCACTTGCATACTGAAGGCAACAGCACTGTGAACTGCTGCGAATGTCACCTGCTGCATACTCGGCGATGTAGTTGGGAGGCAGTTGGGAGACCAGAGCTGACTAGGCCAGAAATGCAACATTTGTTATTTGAAAATTGCCAGTACCTAATTATTATAACAAAAAGCACTCACCAATCATTTTGGCCTCATCTTCAGTAAGAGTTTTACTCAAATATGTTTTCTTTACTCGAAGGGTGTTACCAGATGGGTGAATAGCTCCAGTGACAGGCATAGGGGGCTCCCCATCTTTCTGTTGCAGGCTGTCTGCTATCACCAAGAAGGCTCTTAAGCCTATGTTCATTCTCTAGTGGAGACAAAGATGTCATGTGATTCTTCTCTCCACTAATTCAATGTAGAAGAACATATTAATAGAAAGATTAAGGAACTCATGTACCAACACAATGCAAAGGGTGCCCACAGAATTCAGATTTCCTCTCTCAGTAACTTACTACAATCACACTAAATTAAAGGGAATGTATAGTGGTTTTGTATGTGATTACAGTGAGTCCAGTTGCCTTGATTTATTTTTTACAGATATACCTTGACCTGGAGGAATAAGCCCCTTCACAGTCAAGCTCTCTCTTTGCTATAAAATCCTACTGTTAACAGTTGTTAAACCCAAGCTGAAATTTATATACACATGTGAATCACTTACTCCAGTTACCCATCTCTCATCAGATAACCTATAATGCTCTGTGAAGCCTTTCTCATATAATAAAGGTTTTATAGGTAAAATAAAGACTACATGTAGAGCTCGTTAAAAACAAAATATAAAACTACAGTTTTTAGTTAGTTTTAGTACAGATCCTTTTTTTAAAAAAGGATCTAAACTCATTATAGTTTCCTGTGGATTTTTTTTGCATAAAGTATTTATGTAATTATTGAAAGCCTTTATTTCTCGTTTTACAATTTTTCAATTATACAAGTGCAAAACAACTCAGTCCAAATACCATATGATTCAACTGAGACTTAGAAATACATTTTAACCATATATTGTTGTTAAGCGATACTCGGATATTGATCCAGAAGTGAGCGAACACATACCGCCACTCGCTAACTTCCCGATCATCTCCCTGCAGAGAGCGGTGAATGTCAGTCACTGCTCCCTACAGGGATTCCCCCCTCACCTCTCAGATCCTCCAGCGCTGACTGGAGGGACAGACAGGGGAGGGGGCGGCCGTAGTTGGTTCAGTCTTTAGGTATCAGCCATGGCGTTGGATCTGTCAATCAGCCGGGGGAGCTGTCAATCAGCCGGGGGGGGGGGGGGTCCAAAAGGTTTTTAGTCCCAAATGCAGCGCCCTCGGCATATAGCCCGCTATATACTGAGTTTTGGGTCATAAGAGGAGGTTAGTATATGTCCTCCTGTGACCCTAAAGAGAGCTATGGGGGAAAAAAGGTTACCCCATGGTTCTCCTTTAAGAAAAAACACTAACATCATGTTTTTGGTTGAGTTACATTGATGTATGTAAACAGATGTAAATCCTTCCAAAGAAATTGTTACAATTTGTAAAACATATAAATGCATTTTTGTATCGCTAATAATTGTAATAATACAGCATATCTAGCTTGTGATGCCTTGTTGGTGTCTTGTGTTTTTTTGCACTGTCACGGTGTCTGGCATTTAGTCTTGAATCGATATTTAACTTATTCTTGGCTTTTATTTCCTGCTCTCATCAACAGACGTCTGAGAAAGTGACAGGCAAGAGGTAGCAGCATTTTTAGGCGTACAAAGCCAATATCTTTGAGAGTTGACTTTTACTCTCAATTTGCCACAAAAACTGACAAAATACAATGTCCACGTAGTAAATTTAGCTAATTCTTTAGTGAACTGAAAACACAATTTTCAAGCATCAGTAGTAAATAATGCACTCAATAATATCTTACACTTTAGTGAACTGATCTCTAAGAGCATTACAAACCGACAGACAGAATCAACACCGGGTCTTATGCCTATTGTCATGGAGGGATATGTAAAAGAGAAGTAACAATACTCAACCATTTGTTCTATATGATACTTCTCACAGGAGCAATAACATACCTCGGGATTAAGGCTGAATGCTTTTGCTGCTTTTCCTACACATAAAAGGTCAAAAATAATTTCTTTCATTGCAAAATCTAGACGCTCCTAGAGGTAAAACAAAACAGGAATGCAAGTCAGTTAAAAGAAAGAATTCCTACAACAGTCTTTTCTCCGAGGAGGATTCTCTTTTTATTATTGATTAGGGAATGGGTGATGCTAATGTGTATAAAACAATTGCAAGCACACTTTGGAGTAATGTATGGATATTATATAAAGTTTTCAATATGATTTAAATGAAGTTGTAAGCCTTTGATGGAGAAGGTATAGACTGTTGTTGCTGGGAGGTGTCAGGGGATCATTTAAGCATCTTAACCTACAATACAAAGGTGAGCTGTCTTTTGCTAGACATGGGGTGTGTTATTTTCCCTGTACAAAATGCTATTTATCCCTTCCAAAACCTGGGCTATGTGTATGTACACATGAGTTTGCACAGAAACTTTATTTACTCCCTGATGTGTCAGGATACAGTGCTACTTTAATCACTTATTAAGGGTTATTGATGGTACTTTAAAAAACAGTTACATTTGGCATGACATGACCCTTACTGTCGTATTGTACACATATGATGCCACCATTACCTGTGCAATGAACTGTATGATCTTCACAAAGATGTTGAGGGGCATGTCACGAGGCACCACAATGCGAGAGCCTTTTGGGAAAAGAGTCCCCACAATGGTTGTGAGACGGCTATTCAAGAAGAAAAGGAAAGATCACTAAAATAATTGTGTGTAAATGTCATTACTTAGACAGGTCTGAAACAATATCTGATCGTGTCTGCTCACTTTAGGTCAAAATAGCAGGTTTTAATTGACTTGAAGCTTTCAGAAAAACCCGAAGAGTATCCCAGTATAGCACAGTTGCATGATTGGCACCAAGTAGGCCTGAACTAAACTTTTTTTTTTTTAACATATTCCTCCCTCAAACCTGTAACATTTTCATATATTCACCTATCACTACTGTCAACAATAGGAAATAGGCTCAGGTAACAGAATTAAATAGCCGAAAATGGCTACAAGGACCCCCACCCCATCCTTTAGGCCTTGTTCACACCAAATGCAGAGCAGATCCGCTCAGGTTTCTGCACACGCAGTGCAGTGGGCTGTGCCGCATTTCTAGTTTAACATGGGCTTTCAGTGCGTTCCAGGCATTTGCATGCGTTTTGGATGCGTTTGCATGCGTTCCAGAGCAGATCCAGAGCAGGTAAAATAGGGCTTGCTGCAGTTTTTTCACCTGCTCTGGAACTGCACGCTGCAATGTGAACTGGAGCAAAAAATACCATTGGAATACATTGGGCGCAGTTTTGATCCGGTCTGCAACTGCTCTGCACCTGCTCCGCGCTTGGTGTGAACAAGGCCTTAATCCAACAGACCCCCCTTCAGCTACTGTTGCTGGACCAAGCCTGGAGCAGTTGTAGATAAGCTTCATCAGAGTATTATGTGAAGTATCATTACAATCATTCTAGTATCATATTTAAAAGAAAAGAAAACCCTACAAAACACTTGCACATCATGTATAATGACTGCATGCCATACTTGCTTAAACAAACAGTACAAGTAACCAACCTCTGAGTAGCTGTGTTGCTTTCACATTTAATTCGAATCATATACACCCACAGTAGTCTGTACAAGGATTCCAGTGCAACTCTGGCCATTTTGGGATCTTTATTCTGCAAAAGGAACAGAAAACTGACAGTTACATTCCATCACTACTGCCAGGCACAGTCTACAATATATAAAGCAAGCGTTTTTGCACCAATGTGCAACGTCTGCCAAGTTAACTTTTCATTTGGTGGGCTGTGTCGGATTCTTCTTTACACCTAGGTGGCAGTTGATGAAAGAACACATGACTCATTCCATTCCATGCTTTATAAGTCATCTAGCTGCTGCAGGCAGGTTGTAAATACAAAAATTGGTGGCAATAACAGTGTACGTATCACTATGAATAATTTATTGTCCTCATCGCCAGCTAAAGCTAAACAGATTACAATTACAGGTTTATATGCAGTGTGGAAGAATTTTTCCATGCTCGAAAATTAATGCAAAATGCTAATTTGTGAAAAGGCATAAAGAATATGTTTTTACAGAGTGGACTCATAGGGAGCTCCTGTGAAAAGCAACACTTTTCACAGGAAACAAGGAATTGAGCTGCTAACAGTATCTTTTGCCTGCGATAATATTATGCAGTCCTACGAAATACATGAAAACGCCTTTACATAGTCCAATGACGCATATATTATACAAAAACCTCTAATTGAATAACATTCTTACTACTCTTAAAAGGTAAAAGCAGATATCTGATTGAGGTTTCAACCTGCTAACTAGTGAATCAAAGGACACAGGGAACATTCAGGTTAAAACCTGTCTTCTATATTTACAAATTTAATGGGGACTTAAAATTAAAGCTGAACTCTAGGTTAGCAGCTAGCCAATACCGAGGATTTGGGTGAGTACCCGTACTCACCCAAATGCTCCGTTACCTTCCACGATACCAGAACGTCAGTGCAGCGAGGGAACATGGAGCCAGCTTGATGCCGATTGTCTGGGAAGCCGATCAGCAAGGAGTCGGCTTCCCAGGCAATCAAGAAGCTGGGCAGCGAATAATGACACGCCGCCCGGCTTCCTGATTGCCCAGGAAGCCGACTCCTTGCTAGTTGAAGTATCGGTATCGGTACGCGGTATTTGCGAGTGCCGAAATATAAAACCGGTATAGGTGCATTCCTAGTTCCAAGCAACCCAGTCAGACAGAACAGCCAGATTTTTGACCTCCACTGAAACTGCAATAACATGGCTTGGAAAAAAATTGGACCCCAAACTTGATCGGAGAGTGAAGAAGTATAACCACACCAATGTGGTCATTTCTCTGTTCACTCTTCCTGCCCTCCTCTTCATCTGAAGGCAACAATGCCGTTCAATAAGATAGCACAAGTAAAGTAAAGAGTAAGCCATGAGACCCCATCAGTGGAATAATGCAATTTGCACTCCAGCTTTGTCTTGTTGAATAAGCTTGCATATCTATTTATTGCAATGGCTGTGTTTATGAGTACACTGTAGACTTATGATAACATTTACAAGGGGGCAGTGGTGGTATAGTAACCTACAGCAACCAGTTCATAGATTTATGGGCATATTTAGGCATTTGGATGGTTTTATTGCATAGACATAGGGGGGAATTGATCAAAACTGGAGAAGACAAAATCTGGAGCAGTTGTGCACGGTAACCAATCAGCTTCTCTATTCAATCTGTTCAGTTAAGATTTGAAAATGAAAGATAGAAGCGGATTGGTTGTCATGCACAGCCGCTCCAGATTTTGTATGCACCCGTTTTGATAAATTCCCCTCTCAGCGCATGCGTCATGGCTGTGCATTGCGCCGCTATTGTTCAGAATTACTGGGCCATCAGAATGGTACCAAAGTATCGCTGAACATTACTACACTTTGTAATAAAGAAAAGGGTGCATGTTCAAAGAGCATCACTCTCCCTAGGTCAGTTGATAACCTCTTATGACTTCCAATACCATCTCTACGCTGACGACACCCAAATCTATCCTTCCACAACTCAGCTCACCTTCTCTATCTCCTCATGCATCACTAATCTACTCACTGACATATCAACATGGATGTCACACCACTTCCTTAAACTCGGGCTTTGCAAATCTGAGCTTCTAATATTTCTTCCTCTCAGTGTTCCCTCCCCTGTTTTTTACATCACAATCAACAGCACTACAATCAACCGCTCCCGTCAAGCCAGGGTGATTATAGTAATCCTTCATTCTGAGATCTAAATCTTGCCAATCCTTCCACTGGCTCCCAATTGCCCAACAAATAAAATTCAAAACACTAACAACATACAAAGCCTTCTACAACTCTGTCTCCAGCTACATCAGTAAGCTCATCTCAAAATATCACCCAAACCGTCCTCTTCGCTCCTCTCAAGTCCTCTTGCTCTCCAGATCTCTCGTCACGTCCTCCCATGCTTACCTCCCTGACTTCCCCAGAATGTCTCCTATCCTCTGGAACTCCATATCCCAATCTGTCCACTTATATCCTACTCTGTCCAGCTTTAGGCAATCCTTGAAAACTCAACCTCAACATAATAACTGTCCTTTTACTTCTTCCATTAACTCCTCCCATACAATTTGTATCCCTTGCCCCTCCTACTAGATTGTAAGCTGTTGTAAGTGTACGGTCTCCGCTATATAAATCTTGAATAATAATAATAAATTATGCCTGGCTGCTATGGGCATCACAAACACTTTGGGGTCAATTCACAAAGCTTATTTTCTTCATTTCGGCCGTTATTTCATTGATATCGCTTGTTATATAGTTGCTGTTTAGAGGTAGTCAATTCACAAAACTCAATAACGCTTCCTTTTTTTAAGAAGACGTTTTTTGTTTTCACATAAAAGCTTAGATTTTGAACACAAATAATCTTTCAACCTGCCTATATTAAGTATTCACATGAAACCATATACTTTTTAAGCTTTCCGGATCCACATTATTATCTCTTCAATCAGCAAAACTGTACGGATGGTAGAGTTGACATGTTTACCTTAAGGTTAGATAAGCAGTTGTTGAGAAAAATATGCCATCGGTTTAGAAAGAATTGTTTCTGACTGACACAGAGCAGACATGTCACCAAGGGATACAACGCCTAAAAGAATCAGAGGATTAGGAGCAGATTTCCATAAATACACTTTAATATGCAAGACAGAAATATGCTATTAATTATGCAGACGTGTCTCCTAATCATATAATACACTTGGAGAAAATGATTTCTGGGTGTAGTACAGACTTCTTGAATTTCATTTGTGACTTGTGTATGGCAGCTTCTGCTATAAAAACTGTTTATCAACCATTAAAGGGGAATTAAACTTTCATCAAGAAAGTGGAAACCCCAATAATTGGAGATTGAGATATAGGCAAATCCCCAACTGTGGTGATTGGCTGGACTGGGTGAATCTCATTCTTTCTGGTTAAAATTTGATTCTCTGATGCTCCTGAACATAAGAGGGACAAGTCCAGAAAAGCTTATTAAACTCAAGAATTTTCCACAAAATTCATCAAGCCCACAATTTCTAACAGATCAGATGTGCCAACAAGTACAAATTCTTGAGAGTCAGAGGCTGGTGTTTTACATGTAAAATTTGAATAATCCACCAGTTTGAACATTTCTGCGGGGCACTAAAGCTGGCCACACACCTGCAGTTTCTTCTAATTCGGCCCTGCGGGCTCAATAAGAAGGGACCGTCAACACCTCCATCCATGCTATACAGCCTGAATTAGGGAATTTTCTTGCTGGGCTATATTTCGTTCTAACAGCCAGCACCTATGGTTGTCAGAATACTGAAAAGTGACTGCAGCAGATTGGCTGCAGTCACTTTTCCGCCAACAATTTTCGACTTGGCTCCTTTGACCAAAGTCGTTTTGACTGTCAGCTTAAGAAACATTGCGGTCAATAGACGAACGCACGAACAAACGTGCAAAGACGCTCGCAAATGGGTCCAACATGCTTCTGCCGCGCATTTCCTGGAGTTTCCATTGACGTCTATGGGGGAAAAAACAAGCTTGAAAACTGCCAAAAGAAGCTCATGTGCATTTTCCTGCTCAAGTGTGAACAAGGGCCATTGAAAAACATTGTGTTGGGCCTTTCAAAGTGCTTTTCCTACTGCTCGAAAATGCCTAGGTGTGAACCAGGCCTAAGGGCTCAGTAAGAAAGGCAAAGAGAAGTGACATAAGATACAGTTCACCATTTACAACCCCCAGACACGCTTCAATCATCCTTAAGCTATATGGAGCTTTGATTTACACGGAGTAACAGACAGCTGCATTAAAGTTAGACGGTCACAATATCAAGTATGAAGTCCTGTTACATACAGGTCGGATGCCGGAATTCCTGGCCATTCTGATCAGGTACAACTTTTGTATTTCCCGGTATTGTCAAAGCTCATCAACCCTCTCTAACACGCATTCCTATTTGGCCATTGGTGAAACCAATGACAGCAATAAGCCAACAGAAATTAATTGTGGGGCACGATGAAGCAGGTGAGATCTGACACTAGCTAAATCTTTGTCTGATCAGAAAGGATCTGCATTTGGGCAGAGTAGAGGTGCTGAAATCTGCTGCACTTTATACCTGTTTGCCGCCTTTTTTTCTTTTCAGCAGAAAACGAGGGGAATGTGCATGGCAATGCCCATTAATGTGCTCACCTGTAATCTATTTAATTTAACAACTTCGCTTATCAAAGTCTGTCAAGCACATGGTAGTATGTGTTGCTGTGTCAGACAATGAACTACTTTTATATAGACTTTGATACTTTCCTTGCTAAGGGATGTGAAGAAAATGAAAAGCAGGAGGTGTGACCCACAGCAACCAACCAGAAGCTTGCTTTCATTCTCATGACTGAATAATACAACTGACAGCTTGAGTCTCCCTATAGGTAATATTTTTTACTTTGCCTCTCTCCAGTTTCTTTCTGAAACTAAGGCTATATGCAGGCAAAAAAATGCATGATGCTCCATATTTATTAAAGAAATAGCAGTGTTTTTTTTTTAACTCAAAACATTTTTGGGGCGGTATCTTGAAAAACTGCAGCACAAGCAACTCACCAGTGAGTGTTTCTTCCTGGAAGACAGCTCCAGAGTTGTGTCATAAAGACTCTCCACAAAGTTTCTAAGACAAGGGACATTAACTTCATTTTTTACAGCCTGCAAACAGATTAACAGATCATTTAGTTCCAACAGGCCTTATCCCAATATGTTACTTAGCGTGTCATTTTAACGTGACTTACAGCAGCTACAGGTACAAGGATTTCCACAAACAGGCCGGCCAAAGCATGCTTGATGTCCTTGTCTTTTACTTCTAGGAAATAATGTGCACATTCCTAAAACAGACATAAAACATGTGCATGAATAACAAGGACATAAAATCGGAGGTGAATACATCTAATACACACGTTCAACATGCAATGTTTTTTATAGTGTATTCAAAAGAGAAAAATGGTACAGTATCTGCCTTATTAAAGAGAAAGTACCATGAGAGAATAATGGAGGCTGCCAGTGCTTCTAAAAATGCTAGGTCCCTGGCTCTCATGCTTTGGCTTCAATGTTACCTAAATCACAGCTCAGGAACAGGCATAGAGATAAGAAATTATGACACTATTCTGACACTGGTTTACAACATGCTTGTTCCCAGCCTGTGACTAAAATGTACTATTATATATATATATATATATATTACACATACACACTCCAGCTGTGACTCCTCCCCTT